AAAAATATCAGAAAAATCTACTTGAGTACAGTAACGAAGTATTTGTGATTCGTTACTTCCCATCTCTGATGCTATGTCACCTTGTTTAAGAAAAGATTTTTTTTTATATTTTACTTTTTTTTTTCTTTGCTCTACCCTGTGATCCATCAGGTAGAAGTATTAAGAGCTGGAAGATGACATCCCAAAAGCCGTTTGTTACATCTTGAATCAGAGTGCAGCTCCAATCTGCAGGCTTGAATTTACAACTGATTCTCTAATCCAGATTTGGTCAAATCTTATCATACAGGCTTGTCTATATCCACACCATTTGGCTGACGGCCTTTTTGCAAGTTGCACTGACCACTTGAATTTTATACCAATCCAGATCCAACTGGTGTTTTTTTTCAGCAAGTATATTTAATATTCTTGCATGAAATTGTTAGAGGTGAGTATTGGCATGAGTGTTGCGATTCGATACATGTCGCGATACTTGGGTCACGATGCGATATTATTACGATATTGCAGTATCACTATATATTGCCACATTTTCCCCAGCTATCAAAATCAAATGATGAGATAAAACAGCAAGTGCTGTATATTTTCATCAGAAAATATTGATTAGGTATTATCCATGTTGTTTGGGGTTTTCTTCTACTGTGACTCCACAGCGCTCCACAGCGCTCCACAGCGCTTTCTGCCAGAGTGGTGGTGCAGAGGTAGCCCCTTTTCCCATCAATGTTTTATGTAACAATTTTTTTTTTTTTTTATCGATACTGAGAAGTGAAAAATTGATATTATATTGGGCAGCCGAATATCACGATATATCGCCAAAACGATTATTTCCCACACCCCTACTTTAATCTGGTGGATTCCCTTGCAAAGATCCAGATTTAAAAGACTATACATTAGAGCTGAAATAATTAATCAGAATAATCTTGATTAATCTGATTAATTAAATAATCATCAAATAATTTAGCAATCGATTAATCGGTAAGTGGAGCATAGAGACTATAAAAAATACCTTTAGCTGACAGAGTCAATCACTTACAGCGGTAACCAAGATTGTTAAAAAAATATATAAACATTTTGCATTTAAGATAAAAGAAAAAATAAAATCTGTCAATATGTTCTATCCATAACTCCTCTGATGGAAAAATGTAGTTTCACCCGGTTTAATTTCCTGAACATTCTTCTTTGAGGAATCTTTGGCTTTACCATTATTAATTGATTAATCGAAAAAATAATTATCAGATTAATAAATATGTAAAATAATTGTTAGTTGCAGCCCTATTGTACATTAATTTTCAAAGTTGTCAAACTTTGAGAGTACGACCTTATCATTAGCATGGTTTATCTATTGGAAAACAGGTATGATACTTTATTTTTTGGCCTTATTTTCTAAGGCTATTCCTCAATGAAAATTATACACAAAGTGGTATTTAGCAAGTTTCAAGCATTTCTGAGTAATCCTCATCACACAGTCCCCATCCTTGAAAAACAAGTGAGCAGGAACAATCTTCATAGAGCCCTTAATATCTGCCTCCTCTGAAAGAACCTACCTTAAATATGGCATGCCTGTCCAATGTGAGGCAGAGCATGATCATGCTAGTCAAAGTTAAAGACGAAGTAGCTAATTAAGCAGATAATCTACACAATGACAGAAACTGTTCTTTTTCAATGTAATACCTAAGAAGCAAAGTGTGTTTCCTAGCTGTGAGATAAGGTCTAATACTTTGGTCTTTCGTAAAGAGGAGCCAAATCCCATGAAATGGTGTGATACTGCAGCACCTTTTAGAAAATATAATGATATGGCACCACTGCACGATGAGAGGCAGTGTCACACTAAAAGCAGGTGTTTTTCTTCAGGCTACAACTAATATTTTATAATAAATGAATACTTTGTAGTTCCAAAGTATAGCCTTCCAAAGCAAAATATATATGGATAGTTGACTAGTGTTAAAAAGCTTTATATATAATCTTTAATGGCTCCAAATGGCTGCAGTTTTTTACCTGCTCTGGGGGTGTTTGTTTAGTAGAGTTGTGTTAATTGCCATTTTTCAAAATGGTTCTGTAGGTTGGCTATTTTTCTTTCTTTCTTTTTTTATATTAATAACTGAACTATATTTATTTCCTTTATGTCTTTCTCTATGTTTCTTTCCTCCTCAGCTATACAGCTCAACTTCTTCATATAACCCTCCACCATAACCTTCAGACCTTCAATGGAACAACTCGGTCAGTTCCAGAAAAACAGCCTCTTAGTTTTTCAGTCTGTATGTGTGCAGCTCTCTCTGAACTTACTGGTAGGCCTGGGTTTCCTGGAGGTCCTGGTGGACCCAGTGGTCCTCCAAACCGTGGGTCATAATATCCACCACCTGGCTCTCCCTTCTCTCCCTTCACTCCTGGATCTCCATGTTCTCCCTTCAACTTATTCTGTTGAAGAACATTATGATATTCCATAAGTTTACTGTAATCCAGAATAATGAGATATCCAAACCACGGTGAAGAGAAAAGGGAGGGTTACCTTGAGTGAGTAAATATCGATATCTGAAGCTGTCCCTGTGAGAAAGTGAAAAAGGTGTTTTAAAGATTCAAACATTCCATAGAGAATGCATACATACAGAGTGAGTTTAATGTTTCAGGTTTACCTGGGATCCCAGGAGGTCCACGGTCTCCTTTTTCTCCTTTGACCACTGCAACAGAAAAAACACTTTACCAAAGGTTACACAAAACAAACACAAGTGGAAATACTATATAGTGCAGCTAAAAACAATTCTTAATGTCTGATCTCCTCTTTTAAATCATAGATTTTCTGCAATGGTGAAAGTAGAGAAAAAAGTCTGTACATTTCCAACAGTTTAAATACTTTATCTGTTATTATCTGTTAATATGGATGACTGTCATGCTAGTCCATCCCAGTGAGTTGTATCAATCCCATACCTTGGTAACTCCTAGAATTTTCATCAAAGCGCTAAAAAAAGGACAAAGGAATGCCATAAGAACAACAATCACTGTAATGGTAGATATGCTGCATTAGCTTGACATGGAACACTTGACGTTGCTCTTCTGGACTCACATTAAATCGATCCACAGAAATGGCTGGCCCTGGTGGTCCAGGTGGTCCTGGCGGTCCTGGTGGACCTGCCACTCCCTATAGAAAACACAGTACTTCACTTTATGGTCCATGTAGAATCAAAGAAATACACTTTTAGGGTAATCAAACTGAGTATTTTTCCTTCCTGGGGAGGAATAGTTTCAGAAAAAAAAGGGAGCTCATATTTTTCTTAACTCATTTTCAGTATTTATAAGGGAGACTTACCTAATCTACATTTTATTTTTCTCTCAAATATCAAAAAGTCTGTTATTATGGTCAGATAATAAGACTCAATAGCAGCAGGAACAACGATATAGATCCTTTTGCCATATTCAGTAGCACCACTGGTTCCCTTTAGTCAACTGAGGCTCATGACTTAAAGGAAACCAGACAACAGTGCAGTGAATC